ATCATATAATAATGTGTTTTAGGGTGACAAAACATCATTTGTGTTTTAACAGACATTTGGTAATATCAGTCACCTCTTACAACCTATTAGTCCGTACTTTAATGCTGTTTTCAGTAGCTGTCTCTGTCCTGATTTTTTTCTGCTTCACATTTTTGTGAGATTTCCATTTTATAAGTTTACTTATTTAATTTTTTTTTTCTCAGAAATCATGATAAATAATTTTGTATGGGGTGCAACATGACAGATCAGGTCGCTGAAGCCTGTAGCCATAGGCATTAACCTTCCACTTCAACCCTACACAGCCTCCTGTCTGCTCTTCTGAACTTCCTCCCCTTTCCCTTGCAATGCTGGTGCACATGGGAGAAACACAGGCATTTCAACTTCAGTTACCTCTCTGCAACTGCCACTGGCTATACAATTGCCCTTTGGCTCTTTTGGCTTTGGCTCTGGGATTGTTTAAAAATCACAACAATTGAATTGGTGCTCTTTCAGTGTCAGTCTGAAGTCTGTATAAGATGTTGCTGTTGGATGACAGTGACATGGGAGTAGAAATCCTTATCCACAGTAACAAGTAATAGGTTTATTCCTTGCTGAAAAGAGGACACCTGAAGAAGACTCCACTTCCGAAACGTTGTGTTTTCTTCTCTTTTCAGCTTGGAATAAACCTATTATTTGTTCCTTTGCAGCCTACACATGCTGATGCAGCTACCCACCTGAACTACTTATCCACAGTATATCGTCAAACCTCGCAATCCTTCTGTGGTCCAATCAAAAGCGGTGCAATTTAGTTGCTTTTGTTGAATACTGCAAAATTTACAGTCTAAGGAGCTGACAGTAGATTTAGAATTCAAACTACAGAAGTGTAAAAAGAAAGCCTAAGATATATCGCTAGTGCGATTATTGGAATTATCTCCTGTATCCTCTAAACACAACCATCAAGTTTCGTATTTATAGCAGTGAAACTTATTTTATAATAAACAAATTAATAGAGCAATACTGACAACAGCAGAAACTACACAATGGGTGAATAGTATTTATTTTGACCAGCAAAATCAGAACACAACATGTCAGACTATACTGTATATTTCAAAACAAACTATGCTTTATAGAAGTGTGTTATATAATAAGATACGTCAGCATAAAGCAAATTAACCTTTTTTCATGGGAAATTTAATCTCAGTTTCAGTTTAGAGAAGCATCAAAGTATATCAATCATCTATTGATTTCTCCAGCAAAATGCAAGCTCAAAAGCAAAGGTTCATACAAATACATACATTAATACACTAATTTTACTCTGAAAGAGTTCACAAGTTTATAAAAACAATACACATTGTAACAAAGATGGCTGCTGAAGCTCCCCTGTACATTGAAATAAACTGGCTATATAAAAAGGTTTTAGTTTAAAATAACTGTCAATCAGCAAATTCTGAGCATTCAGAGACCAAAACCCTCCTCTCTGTATATGAACATACATTAATATTTATTTTAAACCTGTTTAAATAATTACTTTGTAAGTACATATAAGTCAGAAAAGTGAGAAAAGTAAAAAGAAAAGCTTAGAAACACTTAACTGTAAACATTATAAGAAACATCTCTGGAATCGGCAGTAGTGAAATAAAAAGTAAAAACAGGAAATCAATCAATTATTTATATTATTTATTTAACATTTTTTTGGAAGACTAATAAAATCAATCCAGGTCCTGTCTTCAGAAAAAAAATATGCAGATGTTTTTGTATTTGTTCAATCACTTTCAAATTTTTATTCAAGGTGGTAAAAATTTTAAACAATATCTAGAAAGAGGTGTACATCCTTACATCCTAGGTGTACCACAACTTGAGAAATTGACTTTTGAAGAAAGACAATAAAATTTTGTTTTTGTGCTGGATATTTCTTTCTAGTGTGCGTATTGAGCAAGACAATATAAAAAATCTGAAGGTTGCAACAGGATATCCAAGGGGTTCTTTTTAATTCAAGAGCCTAGAGATGCCTGTACTGTGTTCACTTTCCAAAATAATTCCACGGATGAAAGGGTGCATCCAAGAGGACACTGACCTTGTTCTTCCATTTGTGGGAGGGGATGAATGAGATATTAAAACAATAATAATAATAAAACATCAGTACAAGAGAAAAGGCTGCTGCTCATATTTTTTTCAGTGGAGCCAAGAAGAATATTTTTATATTCAAGAAGACTGAATACATCTCTGATTCATCAGATATAAGTGGGTAGAGCAGTCATCTTGTTCTTCAAAATTAAGCACCTGGCTAGGAGAGTAATAAATCTGGAAGTATGGTATCCTGCTTTATTTAGCAGATGGAGATATGGGTGACACACCAAAAAGAGCAGTGAGAGACGTGTATCACAGCTTTATCACAAGATCAAAATGGTGCTAATATCAGATTGCTGGCCATTAAAGTACAATCCTTCAACAGTTCAGCCCCACCACTGCATGACGACAACATTTCTATTTGCAAGACTTGGACTAGAGATGTCTGGGCTATGGCCTTCAACTTGTGCTCTTGATGATTATCGTTACTGATGAGCCATTTGGGAATAGAGCCGTTTTTAATAAGTGACTTCTCTGAAATGACAATACAGCTTTAAAATCCTGGCTAGGCTGTTTGAACTAGTGTTTTCTGTTTTGTTTTCTGTTATGGTAATCTTCAATGTTAATCAGTTAAATTATCAAATGATAAAAGACTTGGGACTGTGATTTAACAGAAAGTAAGAATCTTAGTTCAACACACTTTAGTTTAAAGGGGAACAGCGTCCCAATTTCTCTTACTTGTTATTAAATCATGGTAACAAATTAAATTGACAGTAACTCAATTTTTAAAATTTAAATTAAGTGCAAAATCATGAACTTTGCAAAAGTACTGTTTGGTTGCAGACCGTACTGTTGGAGGCAGACGAGAAACCGCCGTTCTTGGATGAGAGTGAGAGTTTGTGCAAATTCCTGTAAGCAAATGAGAAACACAGTCTCCTAACAACATTAATCTTTTTTTGGTCTTTTTGAAGTCATATATTTTTAAAATAATGCCTCATGGTCAAGCAGTTAAGAAGATAGCGGTCACACAGAACAGAGGATCGGATCAGTAGAAAGCCAAACTTTTCTCTTCCAGGGGATATTCAACTAGCAAGAGATGGGTAATAAACATGTGCAGTGATGCTGGTTTCATTTCAAGATTCGGTGTAATGTATGATCGAATAAGTACAGGTTTTGCCTGACATTTCACCCCAGTAATTTTCAAACGTGATCTATACTCAGTTAAAAAGTAGTATTTATCAACAAGTTGATATGATCAATTGAACTGAAATGCACTCATTGAAATCAGCTGTTCAGGCGACAGTACAGTCTATGGCACAGCAAGTCCTCCAGAAATATAGGTCCTGCTAGAATTTTTCTTTTATGTGTGATTTACCTTAAACTATCCACTAATGTAAATGATAGAGCACTTTGCAAAACTTGAAAATTGAGTGTATTTTAGTTGGTTGGCAGGTTGCTTGTTTTTTGCAATACCTTGTATGTGTTGGTTTCATGAAAATATTTTATATGAATATTGTAGTCAAATTTGCTTGGTCTAAAGCATGTTTACAATGTAAGTTTGTGTTCATGTCACCACGACAATACAGTTTGTTGCCTCAAATATGGCAATATGGTGCTACACATACATTGAAACTTTGTCTCTATTGTGATGTAAGTTGGAGTTTTTACATGTTACTGTGTGGTTGGTAGTTTATTTGTGGTTTGAAATGCACTCATCATTTCTGATTCATTATATTTAAAATAATGTTGCAGTTCCCCTTTAAGTACTTTGAGTTTCAAACATAATCCTGAATTAATTATGCAATTTGTACTAGGTAGTATCTATCACAGAAGCATGCATACACAGCTAACTGAAGCATGTCAATCAAGTGGGTATAATTAGTCTGTAAGTCTGTAAAAAGTGTAATCTTTGCAACTTTTTACCATGGAATACACCTTTCAGTTTTGTCCAACTTGAGGTACCTTTAAAAAACAATTCAGTATAAATAAATAGGTGGTGTGATTTCTCGCGTAGTGAATAAACCAGAAAGTTGCTGTTTGGTTAGTTCAATTTTTGAAGGTTTTGTGGAATATTAAATAAATTAAACGAATTGTTCTTATGATAAAAATTCAAAATATATTTTTTTACAAATGCCATTGCTTTATAAGGGAAATAAACCTTATTACTCCCTCTTAGGGAAGTAAAAGGCATATTTAAAGTATATGAATGCTGTTCGTTTTAATTGGCAAATTAATTTGCAGTAGAACAACCAGGGTAGGAGGATTACTGCATGGTTTGTTTGCTATCAGGTCTTAAAGCAAATCCCTTAGTGTTTTATTTGAAGAATAGTTTTAACCTCAAATGCTTGTTAAAAAATAAAGTCAACAGTTAAGGCTTAGGTGTTTTATATATACAATGGAGAATAAATTATTGATTAAAACTAACTCAAATTCTATTTTTAAATAGACCTTTTAGCTTACCAGTTGTTCATAGATAAATAGCATACTTGTGTGTGATGTGTGCAAATCTCCCTGCTAGGAATGTGTCCCTGACTGAATAGTAATTTGTCAACTGGTTTGGCATTCATACTGTACAATACATGTCCTGGGCAGCATATACTGTTGTTTGCATGAAAAACAACTTTTTTTATGTATACATTTTTGTTTGAGATGGTGCTGTACTAGCTTTAGATCACACTGCAGCTTTAGTTAGCAAACAGAGGTTCACAGAGCCCTGAGATTCCAATGATATTCCACTTCATCTACAAATAAACCTTTCCCTCCAGGTACGTTGTGCATAAAATAAGCATGTAGGTGCATTGCAGTAGCAGAGATGTAAATGTGTATTTTTCTTTTATTTGCATTATTAGCATAATTGAATGACCCGGCCTGTTACAGCCTGGTCCCTGTCCATGTAGTGGAGCTCTGGTCTCAGAATACAGTAAAAGCCCCCTTTCCTCTTTTGCTGCCCAAAGGGATGATGAGCACACACTGATCCTGCAGTACTGCCAGACCCTAGGAGGGGAATCGCCACTCAGCCAGCCTCAGAGCCCAGCGCAGATCCTGCAGGCCGTGGAGAGAGAGGAGCGCGGGGAATTGGAACGCATCATTGCCAGGCTGGAAGAGGAGCAGAGGTACTTTCTTCTTGCGGACAGCACTGCCACGGCTTCATGGTCTGAGAGTGTAACACTGACCGTAAAGCCCTGCAGATGAATTCTTTCACTTGCCCACATTCAAAGTTTTAATTTTATAAACCATTTAAAAATTGAGCTTCCCATTTCCAGGGTGAAAGAAACTACGGCCATCTCATTTACATAAGTGCTGATAGACCCTGGACAAGTTTATTTATGTACCATTAGATAGAAATACAACATTTTCAGGTATCTGTCACCAGCAATGCTGATAATACTTTATTTATGTCAGCACACTGCAGTTTAAAATTAAGTATCAATACCTTCCAAAAAAAAAACATATCAAAAGTTATGTAGCTGTAAATAGTCTGGTCTACAAGCTAGTTGCGACATTTGTGTTAAAAGTAATTTAATGATAATTACAGTGATTTATGAATTCTCTTTTTTGTTAAATGAGGCACCACCAACATCTTCAGTTTTTGTTAAGTCTTAGAAGCAAACAATTGCTCTAGTTGTCTCTCCATCCTTTTCAGTAACTTAATCCTTAGAGGATCACAATGACCCAGAATCTAATCCAAAAGGCAAAGGGTACAAAATGAGATTACTCCCTCTAAAACATGCCAGTCTATTTTAGGTGACATGCACACCTTCACTCACATATGCATATAGGGGTTAATTTAGAGTTATCCCAGCTAGGATGTTTACGAGATGTGTGAGGAAACCAGAGTACCTGGTGGAAACCCACATGGATGTAAGGTAGAACATACAAACTCCACACAGAAGGCACTCAATTTCACAATAAAACCCAGAACTCAACACTTGTAAGGCAGCAGCACCAGCTTCTGTGCTGCACTTTTTTGTGAGCTGTATTAAATATTGAGACTGAACAGCTGGCATTGTACCCTTATGTATGACTCAGTGGAGGGTGAAAGCTCATAGTTTGGGAAAATACTGAAGCACTGAAACATGAACATCATTGAAGCTTGGGAACATTGCATCTGAATTAAATTATGCTTGTTTTAAACGGATCTTCACACATTAGTATTTTTCAGGAGCATTTAAGCACTACTGCCTATCTTGTCTCAACACTCCACAACATTTCTGTGATAAGGAAGGATAAAAATAAGAGGCTGCAAGACATCGTGTGACATTTTTAATACATTTGCAATTTTATTTTTTTAAAGTATACTATTTTTATGATACTTTTAAACAAGCAAGGCTTCTTTCACAGGGACTCCTTGATAAGACAACAAGAGATAACATGTTTGTGATTTATTTTATTGAAAGCAAGTGAGAAGCGGTAGTTGTAGCTACAGTATAGCCTGGTGCACTATATCACGTGTGTTTCCCCTCAGTCAGAGCTGTTCGAGCTCAGTGAATAATGCCATGTTGTGTGGCAATGTCACTGGAAACTACAAAGAGACTCCAATAAATGTGGAGGAAACCCAAACACCTAGAGGTGAAAGTAGTGGTTGAGAGCAATTATATTTTCTACACTACTGTTTTCTTCAATCACATTGATAGATACAATACATCCAGGTACACATTACTGTGTCATTGTAATTGACTGTTGTTATTTTTTCTATTTTTGTATTATGTATCATTTTGTATTTTTCAGTTTTAATATGTACATTAGTATTATTTGTTCAAGAAGGGGAGTCCACACTTTAACTTAAAAGTAAGGCCTGTCAGACTAGTTAACAAGCATGTTGTCAATGCTCTATATCAGTGGTTCTCAAACTGTGGTACGCGTTCCTGCAGTGGTACGTGGCGTGCCGCCAGGTGGTACGCCAAATGACCCTGGAACTGTGTCGTGTGCGCTGAAAAA